CCCCCGGCGCTCGAATGGGGGTGGGGGCGTTTTGAGGACGAGCTCCGGGGCTTTAGTGTTTTCTGTGGCACTGACCGTTATTTGCCGCGTGTCACCCGCAGGCTCAGCTGTGTGTGGCTCTTCTCCTCGGGCACTATGGACAAGGCTACGAAAGAGAACTATGCCGGGTACCCCAGCCGTGCTGCGAAGGTAAATGGCTTCTTAGGTTGGTGGGTGCGTTTCTCCTGATCACACAAGAGCTGCAGGTTTCAAACTGTTTGTGGTAATTATTAACAGTGCTAAATAGCAAAGAGGGGAAAAGCTGTCTTGAATGCTTTCTGTGTGCAGGAAACAACTGCCAGTTTTGTCTTTCAGGAGCTTTCTCTTGGAGGGAACAATGCCCAGGGCTTAATTTTTTTATTGTTAATATTAGTATATCATACTTAAATTTGGAAATCCTCCTTATATTTTAAGTATAAGATCCTTTAAAGAGAGAGCAAATATGTGTAGTCAATTTATTCCAGATATGGTGTCTAAAAGAGAGCACTTAATGTCTTAATGTCACTATTGACATGCCTGTGCAGCAGTACTCATGATCACCCTGATTAACTAGGAACACAGGTGCTTTTTCCACTATTTTAACTTAAGACCAAATAGGTCCTGGTAAGGTTTCACAATAGCATAAGCAAAGCTTTGTTTTAATCAAACTGTCAATACATTATTTCTTGTGAACTGAACCAGAAGACTAAATAGTATCTAAGGGAAGAAAAAAAGTACAAATTGTTGCATAGGTATCATTAGAGGGTCAAAAGTGTGAGAAGCTAATCATTAGCATTTGAACTTAATTGTAGCCAAAGTATTCTAGAACAACTCTGAATTTCTGAAATGGAAGCCTGAACTCCCTTCCCTTACTGGAAGCAAAAGATTAAAAGCAGATAGCTGAACCTGACTAAATAAACTTGCTTTGTTCTGCTGAACTCCCGTTGCACTGCAAGGTATATCAAGATGATTAGCATCAAAGGAAGCAATGACTCAAAGCAGTGTATGTTTTTATAGTAAGGATCTGCTGTCTTAATACCTTTGGCTGATGTTTTTCAGATGTGTATGGAAAAGTTCTGCTCACTATAAATGAGCAAGCTGTTGTAGAAAACTGCTAACTTTCTTGTCAATGTAGAAATTCAATAATGTTTTCATTCATAAAATATAAGATCAGACTCCCCTTACATCTCCTGTTAATGTGCTTTGTGGTTTTTTCCTGCTGTACTGAATGGGGCCATAAAGGCTACTGTGTGCTATTCTATAACTGATACGTAATCTTTTCTCTTTGCAGATTGCTAATCCCATTGTGGATGGCCCGAAACGTGTCCCTGTGTCTCAGCATTCTGCCCAGAGCCGGTTACTGAACAGTGGAGCTCAAGCACAACGTGTTCTGTGTCCTTCAAACTTTGCTCAGCGAGTTCCTGTGCAATCACAAAAGTCTGTACTGTCAAACCAAAAACTGTCTAATAACCAGACAACACAGCAGCCTCGACCAAAATTTGTGGTCCAAGCAGCTTCTAGGCCTCAAGTTCCAAGCAAGAACAATGAAAAACCTCAACAGGCTCCAGTACCTGGTAATTCTGAAGATGATGTACATGTATTTATACAGTTGTGACACTTGGGATACCTCTGTGAAGCAGAGCAGTGCAGAAAACCTAAAGCTGATGTTGATGATGTGTGACAGTTCTGCAGAGAAGTACTCAGCTGTGCCTCGAAACAGACGAGCAGCACGTACTGCAGCTTAGATGTTACTGCACTGTCCATTTAGAGCCAATATGGGTGTTTCTCTGCTTGAAAAATTTCCAGATGCTCACTAGTCAGCTGTGAATTAATGTAACTGGCACCCATGCATCACAGTTTTTCTAGTATTAATCTTAATCTCTGATACTAAGAATATTGTAATTTTTCAGGGGGTATGTTTCTTAATGTTATTTTAATTTCAAGGGAGTCTTTAACATTACATTTTGATAGCACTGATAACTGCTATGCTGCTTTGCCAGTAGGAAGCTACACTAGGTTGTTTAAAGTGTCACTGAATGTATTCTAAGAACTGTTGTAGATACTGCACAGAGGTTAGATTTGCTCCTTGTGTGACTCTATTGTGTTCATGAATCTGGTTCATAAAGTTGATTTACTTCTCTACACATAGCAAAAAATTCTGATGCAGAAAGCGCCCCTAAACAGAAAAATGAGGAGACTGCTAAAAAGAAAAATGAAGAAACTAAAAAGTAAGTTTTATGCCTAAATTGTTATAGTTAACTGTGCCCTGTTGGATTAAGTTTGTTTTTAACTGTCAGGATTCATGCTGCAACTAAGCTGCAGATAAGCTGAAGGCTCCTTGAGCCCCTTGGTTGTGGAGACCAGTGGCCCTATGCTTTGCAGAGACAACACGTGAAACTCTAGGAAAGCTTACTTTGACCTGATAATTTGCAGGAACAAGGACTTGCTGCAGTGTAAATAAAGCTTCTGGCTAAATGAGTAATAGCTCTTCCCATGAGAGAACACTGACAGCCACTGCTCCAGTCACAAGATAGATGTGCTAGAGACTGGAGTCTAACGAAGGACGAAGTGAGATTTGTAGTATGGCTCCCTTAAACAGTTCTGATATGCACTAGTAATAAATCTGTACTAAGTGTATTGAAATGAGTCTTGATTTTTATAGTAGTGTGGTTGATGTTGGTATCTCTGCATAAACTTTAGGAAGGAAGAGACTAGCTTTTGGAACTTTTTTGGAGTAGTCTTAATGTATATTTTAATCTTCTTGGTGTTCTCTTAAAGCCTAAGATCTAGTTTACATTGCTAAGTATCTATTGAACATTATAGGCTGTGAACCTAGGAGTCAAAGCCCACACAGGTGTCTAGCTTTTGTAACATTCTCTTTTCTCTTGCAGAAGGCAATGGTCCCTTGATGACTTTGAAATTGGTCGTCCTTTGGGGAAAGGAAAATTTGGAAATGTGTACCTGGCACGAGAAAAGCAGAGTAAATTTATTCTTGCACTGAAAGTGCTCTTTAAAACACAACTTGAGGAAGCTGGTGTAGAACATCAACTACGAAGAGAAGTTGAAATACAGTCTCATCTTAGGTAAAGTTTAGTAATGAATTACACTGTGTTGTTTGTGTTCAAATAAACACAGTAACCTTGTTTATGATAACATACCCAAATGAAGAAAAGAGAAGTCTCTTTTTAAACACATGACACCTTGAAATTGCTAGTTAGGATTCTTTCCTTTCTCCACCAAGATTTACCTTTGTCTACCTAGCGATGAAGTACCCTCTTGTAACAAATCTTCCTATTACAAAAAAACAAACCCCAATGTTGTCTGCAGCTTAGATTCATGTGGGTAACTGCAATTTCAAGAGTCTGAGCTTGTTTCTGGTATTCTGCTTCCTGGAAAATAAGCCTAACTTGCTGAAGAAATTAGTTTTCACAGGAAGTGTTTAAGCTTGAATTCCAAAACCCATAGGAACTGGCCCCTTCAATGGTAATCTACTCTTCTGGTTGCTGTAGGATGGTATGTTCAAGGAAATACAAATTAGCCAGACTCTTGGCTAGCTGCTTGCTAGTAGGGAATCTAAGCTGCTGCTGTGATTAAACACTGTCTCTGCTATGAGGCTCCCTTAATGGATATGTTGTGAGCTGAAGGAACACTTACAAGATGTTGAAGTTCTGTGCTTGCCTTGAAGGCTGGGGGGGAGGCAGGAAAGGGAAATTAAAACTATATGGACAAATACCTTATTCAGAAGAATATTTAAATCTTTTTGCAGGCACCCCAACATCCTCAGATTATATGGCTACTTCCACGATGTTACAAGAGTCTATCTTATTCTCGAGTATGCACCTCGTGGAGAAGTCTACAAAGAACTTCAGAAGCTTACCAAGTTTGATGAGCAAAGAACTGCTACTGTAGGTTGTTCTAGCTTCTTATGCATTACTTGCTCTTCATATCTGGAATATCTGCAGCATAAAGCTAGCTCTTCGGATAAAGCTCTGTATTCTGTTGTGTGAAATGGATTCCATAGGTGCTAGTTTGCTTGAGCACTTGTAACAAGGAGTAACTTGGGAAGACAAATTATATATTGGGATGACTAATATAACTATGTTCAGCATTGCTTAATATTGCAAGTGCTTGGTCACTTCAGGCAGAGCCTGTATTGCCAGACTTCAAGGGTTTAAGGAATAATTGCTCTAACTTAAACTACTAATCATGCCTAGAAAAGGCTAGACTGTAGCCAGGTAAGCTGGAGTGACAATGTCTTTATACTTTAAAGATTTGTTCTCTTTCTACATACAGTACATCACAGAACTAGCAGATGCCCTGTCATACTGTCATTCAAAGAGTGTGATTCACCGAGACATCAAGCCGGAAAACTTGCTGCTTGGCTCAAATGGAGAATTAAAAATTGCTGACTTTGGATGGTCTGTGCATGCTCCATCTTCTAGGTGAGAATGTAAAACACAGCTTATTACTTCTGTAGTGAAAATGTTGGCTTTCTTGTCACACTTAAGATTTGTGGAATGGAGGTAAGTGTGAACTTCCTAAAATACTGGGGGGAAAAAATTCTTTAAGAACTGAGCCACTGCAGTGAAGGTCTTAATACCAACTGGTGTAGCAGGGAGAGAGTGTTTCTTGTCCTGTTTTTTCAACTTGTAAAGTTCAAAATGTGCTGAACCTGAAACAAGTGAAGAAGGCTGGTGTACTGTTGCAGGGTTATAGTGGTCTCTGAGATGACCTGTGTTCCAACATCACACTAGCAATATACTGAAGACTTTTCCTCAACTAGTCTGAATTGCATCTGACAAAGGAAGACTGTTTTTGATCTAGCAAGTGGGATGAAAAAAGGCAGGATAAGACTGAATGCAATGACTGAGATGCTTTAAAGCAAAAGTAGAAAACTTGCTGCTGGAACTTCTTTACCAGTTATTCTGGTGGTGCTGAGTCTATCCAGGGTAGACTGCACTGGGGTACAGATATTACCAGCATTAGCTTCTCTCTGGCTCTTGAAATGGATTATGTCATAATCAGTAAATGATTAAGTTAAGACTTTTCTGCAGGAGAACAACTCTCTGTGGGACACTTGACTACCTGCCTCCTGAAATGATTGAAGGAAGAACACACGATGAAAAGGTGGATATTTGGAGCCTGGGAGTTCTGTGCTATGTAGGGAAACCACCTTTTGAAGCAGTAACGTACCAGGAAACCTATAGAGCTATTTCCAGGGTATGTAGCAACGCTTATTTGGACTAGCTGAATCACGTGCCTTTCGGTTCTGTGGTCTTACTGAAGCTTAACAAATGGTCATTTTGAAGAAGAGCATATATTATAGCTAGAACTGTAGCAAGACATACTGATATGTATAAAGCTAGATGCTTAAAACTGTCTTTAGTCATTCAGTAGAATGACTAGAGACCTTAAGATACCTTACTGTACTTCCTTAGTGTTACCTGTTTCTGCATGGATCTGAACTTCTAGCCCTTTCATAAAGCAACTAATCTTCTCCATATCTTTCCTAATTTAAAAAATGAGTATTTAATATTCAAGGTGTTACTAAAAATACATTAGCTTAACTTTTCCTGTTGCATACCCTAGAAAGGTCCCAGCAAACTAATCTTGTTTAAAATACATTGAAAAATACACTGTTTAACTTCTGCAAGCAGTTACAACCTTGTTTTTTTGAAGATTACGATAAAATTACTTAACCTCATCTCATTAGGCATAAGGTATATAGCTGACAAGGCTGACACAGCTTTCCTTTCTCAATGTACCTTGGAGAGTAGAGCCCTTTGTCTCTAGTTTGGTTATTGCCAAAGAACTTCTGCCTCATCTTTAGTGTCCTTCCTCTTCCTTAGGTGGAATTCAAGTTTCCTCCATTTGTAACAGAAGGTGCAAGGGATTTAATTTCGAAGCTCCTGAAGCACAACCCATTCCAGCGATTGCCCCTGAAGGATGTACTTCTTCATCCCTGGATTACAGCAAACTCTACTAAGATTCCTGACAGCAGAAAGAGTGATGGTGCTGCCCCATCCAGAACATAGTCTTAGGAGGGGTAACCTCATGGGATCAACAAGAGGAGTCTTGTACTGTGACTACTGTAATCCTTACAATAGGAAAAGCAGGTCTTGGAGTCTAATGGCAATTGGAATGCAAATCTTTGGGTTGGCTGTTGTCTTAAACTCTAACTGCAATGTACAATTATCTGACTTTTGGCTGGAGGTTGTGGAATACTTAATATACTTGAAATCCAGTTACATGTGGGCCAGGTTTGTTGATGTAAGTATTAAGCTGTTCAAGGCTCTTGATGATGTGGTCTGTCCTGGTAATGGTTCATTGTTCCAATAACAAGAGGAAGTTGTTCTAGCTTATTGAACAGTGCAATATCCCGGAGATACCTGCCTCCTAACTTACTGGGCTGCTAAGGGTATCATAACTGTGGTGAAATCTGAAACTGAGTGAGGTGAATGCATTTCTCCAAGTGTCCTAAAAATGTGTGCATTATTTTTTGTCTCTATTTTGTCTTAAATGTGAGTACTCAACCTTTTAAAATAAAGACTTGTTATATACTGCCACCAGCATGGTAAGGTTCCTTATGGCATTATCACTTCCACTGGCTGTCTCTAATCACTTGTCTTTACCATCAGTACAGCTTGACACCTTGTCTATGATCACAAAATAAGTTTACTTCAATCCTCTGTCACCTTGCTCCAAGTGCTGCTACCACAAAGTAGGTGTGGTCACTTGCTATTTTACAGTCACAACACAGGATTACAAGGTAAGTACCAAATGTGTTGCTATTTACCTTGGGGGTTTTCTACAGCTATTGAAACCTGGGCATGCTTCTTCCTTTTTTTTTAAATGCACAGTCTAAAAGCACTTCTAAGAGAGGTCTGGAAGGTATTGTTATCAAATGGGATATATAACAGGAACTAATCTTAACACCTGGTGTTTTAAGATGTTATTCCTCAAAATGTAGCAAGGGTCAGACCACTCACCACCAAACCATACAAACCAGTATGTTTCCAGTAAAACACTTCAAGCAAATTAAGAGAAAGCAATTTATTGTATTTTCATTATAAGACTGTGGTCATCTTCACTATTTTACAAACCATTTTAAAAAATGATCCTTTTACAAGCAAGGATTCTAGAATTCAAAATATATTCTCAAATTAATTTAAAATATACTCTGCAAAAAACTTCATCTAAACAAACTGCCAGTAGTTTATACAACCATAATCTGAATTCTGTTTATAACTTAAATGAAGTTCTGTTTCTTTACTGCAATAAAATCTCTAGTTAGTGCTGGCAACTTACTAACTTTCAGATGTATTTGCATTAAGTGATTCCTGCTTTACAGAGATTTTTTTTTTTTAAATAGAAAGCTTGAATATTCTTCTATGAACTTTACAACAAAACATAATTATCGGAAATGACCAATTAAATGAAGCAACCAAGGATGTCTTGTGATTATTCTGGAATTCTTTTGTTATCCTTGGTAACAGAACATTGCTCTAAACTGCTACAAAGAGGGGGCATGTAGAAAAAACCACACAGGCTTCTGTGAATGGGAGGATAAAAAAATAAGCCTAGTAGAAGTCTTTCTTAAGAAATAGTGACTGCTCCCTTGAAATTTAAAAGACTCCTGCTGTTCTGGGATGTAGCAGGTTATAGAAAGCTACAGTAATGGTTGTTGCATGTTGTCATTCCATAGTAACCCTCCAACTGCTGTGCAGACAGTGCAGTTTTCACCTATGGAACACTTGGCAATAAGCTTCCATCCACAAAATGGGTATAATAATCACACAGATTAGTCAAGGATAAAGGCAGAGCTCCCTTGAGGTATGTGCTGATTTGAAACTTATTCTCTGATCAGAGCTGGCTCAGACAGCAGCAAGCTGAAGCTAGTGCCCTGGACTAGCTGCCGTATTGCAAAGCACCCAGGAAACAGGAAAAATCCAGTGTTGTGGGTTTTCTTTTTTTTTTATAAGCAGCTAATCAAAATAAACTTGACAGCCATTCCTCCTGCACATGTGAGTAAATGAAGCAGCAGAGTGTTGGCTCCACATTTAACAGGCAAGCCAAGCAGCTGTGCATGACAGAAGCTCTGTTAGTGACACAGCTCACAGCTCCTGTGGAAGCAGGCCACACTGCAAGGCTCATTCTGTGTCCTGCTCCCAAGGCTGGTGTTCTGAGCAGTGTAATGCACCTTTACACGTATGCCTGGCTCTACTTGTATTACACATCAAGCCTCTAGCCTGTGTACCTGCTCACTGCTGCAGCTCTTTCTATCTGAAGACACTAAACCCTCATCTTGGCTGAGAGCACAGCCCTACTGAGACCAAGCCCTTGTGGAGGGGTTCTTCGTTTCAGGGGGTAGTTTCCAGTATCAGCTTGCTTCCACAGGGCAGAGGAAGTAAACTACATCTCTTGCAATTTTCCCTGTCTTAGAGAAAATCTCTGATTAACCAAGGGGTAGCAATAATGCAGAGGTGCAATATGTGGCTCTGGTTCATCTTCCTAGAGCACAAACTCTGCCTGCTCACTTGTGAGCCTGAGGATCCTCAGAGCATCCACCCAGCCTATGGGGGGGACTTTCTGAATGGGAAAAGAGTTAGGGTGCAATTTAATGTCATAAGTAGAGTTAATAGCTTGCTTACAACAAAAAGAAATTACTCCTTCCATCTCTGCCAACTCTCATACTAACCACAATTCCTTCCTCTCAAGTCACTAAACATCAGAAAAAAAATAAATTACTCTGATCACCAGCATAATTTCCTGCTATTTTACTTTAATCAGATTCCTTTATGAACAGATCTGTTGGGGTAAGTGTAAGCACAAAGATGGAGAAAAACAATGTAAAACAGAGCTGGAAAGAAGAACAGGTCTAAAGATTAATAGATCTGGCTCCAGCTATCTCACAGAAGCACAGCCCGAAGTCTGAAACCCAGGTTTACCACAGAATGTTACACTGAATACTTAGTTTTGGGATGTGGCCTTTAGGTTATCACTGGAAGGTGCTATGTGAATATATGCATGTGCAACTAATAAGAATAGTATCCAAATAAGGAAATAAAAAGCACCTCTAATTGGCACATTCAACAGTCTGTCAGACAAAAGCACAAGAACTACTATGAATTGTAATGTCTGGTCTTCAGGTGCAGATCTGAGTTTCATACACAGAAAGCTGCTAGGGTTAGTTTTCAGGTAAAAATGTGTCTCCAGTACAAAGCTGTATCTCAATACATTAAAAACCCACAGATACCTTGCCTCTGACTTGATCTTTGGAATATGTTCACATAGGAGGTAATTCTGGTTACACTGATTTCAGTAGACACTTGATTCCTTCTGAGTCCATAGGCAAAAAAAAAAATTAAAAAATTAAAAAGGACTTTAGTAAGGCCAGTTCCTAGCCTATAAATAAAGCATATTTTCAAATAATAACATCTTGAAACATGGAAGCACCACAAAGGAGCTGTAGTTTCAGAACAGTGCATCACCTATTCTGGCTAAAACAATTATCACTGCAATAATTAAGTATACAGGTACTCCCACTGAAGTTAGTTCAGCACGTATGTTCTATTGCAAGGCTGGGGTTACAATATGTGCCTTTTATCACAAAAGAAACACCCACCTATTGCCTTGGATTCCAATATATACACTTACCAAAGGAACTATTCATATAGTAGGATATTGTTTACTCCACAGACTATGAGGAAGAGAATCTTACTCTGTTTGCTAACTACACAGTAATATACTAAGGCTGCTATGCTATTTTGACAAGAAAAAATTAAGGTCCAAAAAGCTAGATTAAAGACCCAGAACTGTGTGTTCTAAAGAGACTGCTCATTGTCAAGCATTTATATTGCCACTTGCAGTGGAAACCAGATACCATTTAAACAGGTTTTTCTAAAGAAGAGGTGGCAAAAGGCAAAGAAAATAAGGACAGCACTTTTCACAGTGTAACATTTACCTAAAAGAAGAACTGCAAGAAGGGGTTGCATTAACATGAATCCAAATAAGTTTTTTAAAGAAATTTAGCAATCTGAAAAGCTACATGGATATAGAGCATATAAAAAACAAGAGTAAAAACCAGTAAGAAATCATCATGGATTTGGAGCAGGAGGTTTGAAGAAACCAATCTTCCGGCAGTATCGGACAATAAATGGCACAGAAACTATAGTAATGCTGATTCGTACTGGAGCAAACAATTTGTGAACAGCATATGCCAGCACAAATGTGCTTGTGCCAGCAGCCATTTTAGATTGCAATGATGATTCACTGAAACCAAGTTTGAAGAGAACTGCAGTCATATCCACACCACTGGGGAAAAAGAAAACAAGATTTCTTTAGTTTATTTTAAGGCTGCACGCTATAAAATATAAAGTGCTATTTTTTTCAGGGATCTTAACATGGAATAATTCCAACTCTGGAATTCATGTTCAAATTAGATGTTGTTAAACACCAAAACCAAGGAATTATTTCAGCAGTAACAGCTCAAGTTGCTTCTGTAGCAACAACACACCCAATATTTTCAGATGTGCATTTTTTTTTTTCTTAAATTGACAAGTTCCCTGTGAAGTCAAATATGTTCTTAAGTTTTACAACTGCACAGCTGCAGCATGTGCAAGGAGAATACTCAGCCTCATGTTCAGCCTTCAGAGATAAAATAATCTATTTTGCTACTTTTGAATTTAAAAAATGTTAGAAATTTGTGAATTTGTGTTGGAAATTCATCTTCCTAAAATTTAAAATAAAGCCTATTCTGAGTCTTCATGAAATTTATCACATAAATATAGATCAGCTCAAACCAAATAAGGTGCCTGTTGTTAGGCTTAGTGCTCTAACAGAGGAGTATGAAGCTGTTAAAATGACAAGTATCTTATCTAAAATCTAGCAAGTGAAGGAAGTATTATGCATCTCAAATAAGCATTATCCACTAAATCCACTAATATTTCATTTCTCTATAGACATAGCAGCTTTCCTCAACATTTCTATGTTTGGAGTAATTTTCCAAAATAAGTTGTTACTGTAACTTTTCCCCCTTCACTTGCCAGTATAGTATCTTTTAACTGGGAGTTAAATCATACCTGAAGAAAAAAAAAAAAATCACTGTCACCTTGTGCCACGATGTCCTAAACAAGAGAAATCAGGTATTTGCATGTTCCCACTGAAGTCAAGAGTAAGCAGCAGGGAATGCTTTGAGAAACACTGTGTTTCCCTATTTCCTCAGCTGAAATACTTCAGGCTCAACAGATATATCTGTAACTGACGCATTCCCGCCAGAAGCTCCATACACAATTTCCCACCTGACTCCTATACAGTAATCTAGTATTTTCTTTTTAAATCTAATCTTCTTTTAGTGGCTGTTGCCTTCTGCAGTTCAACTGCAGAAACTGAGCTCAACTCCCAGAAAAATAACTTTATCTCTAAGCTCCAGCACTTTTGTACGGCTCTATCTGTACAGACCACGCTACTGTTTGAGAACAAAAGATACCTCTGCAGAACAAAAATAAATTCTCTCATCTGGTTAGTTACTCTGGTACTGTCTATTCTGCTCTTTTCACCTGTCCACCATGGACCGTGAACCTATGCTAAAAGATCATGTACATCTATCTTCTCTCAAGTCTGATGGGAGATTAGATCCATTTATAGATCCATCTATACTCAAAATTCAGAAGATTACTGTGTATAGATCAAACAGGCATAGAGTATATGTCTCCTTCCAGAAATAAGCACAATGGTAAGATACTTTTCTTGGCTAAACCATTACCTAGAGGCTATAGACAACTGTACCAACCTCACCTTGACACAGCCAGGTAGAAGATTCCTAGAGATACTAATGAAATTCCAACATGGAATGAGACCCCTACAGCACCATATTCTTTAAAGACTTGTTTCAGCTGCTGGGATTTGTTGAGTTTCTTGTTTTCACCACTGGGATCCGTGGCTGCCTTTTCAGGGGATACATCTGCACCCTAAAAAGAAAACAAAAGTATTTATTAGCATTAAGCACAATATCATATTCTAGGCAGTTGAACCAATCTGCAATAATGAAAGAACTGGATTGCATACAGGGCTGTTCAGAACGCCTTGGGAGAGACAGTAACACACTTTTCCTCTTTCACATCAGAACAGCAGGTGCCTTTAGCAGAGCCCATGCAACCTCCCTTTTCCCAGCACTGAGCTTGCTGCACGTTCTTACACAGTGCAACTTTCATAATTAAAGAGTTATTACAGTGCCAGTCTTCCATTTGATGCAAGCGCGTGCCCAGGCACACCCACACCGTTGCTTGAGAGATGAGACTGAGGTGCCAAAGGGATCTTTGCTTACACCCATGCTCAGCTTTTTACAGTGAATTCTTGTAACAGAGCTTTTTGTTCAAGGGCTGAGCAGCTGATGGCACTGGAAGCCTACATGATACCAAACTGCTGCTGGCTTACTAACACCTTACTGACAGAAGAGGTCCAACATTTAAGTTCCTATAAATCACCCTCTGTAGATTAGCTGAAAAAAAGGAAGATCCGGGGAACTGCTACTCTTGACAGCAACAAGCAATACTGTTGCCATGGTGCAGACAATAGCTACACAGACATGATGTAAAGAGCCTAATTTCACTAAAAATGTTTGTCATAGTAAAATTTATTGACAGCTTTTTATCTGGGTGAATTTAAAGTGCACAGCTTCATGCTAAAATATACCCCAAAGCAATGCTGATAGTGCAATGCAGGCAAAGAAGGGCATATATGATGCTAGTAATAAGACAACCCTTGGATGCCTCCTCATACTTGCCATAGAAAAAAACAGTAACTGGAGAAAGAAAATGTTTCCACAAAGACTTCAGGATTTTTCTCTAATTAGTGAGCAGTTGTCAGGAAAGATTAGAAGAGCCCTTTCTTTTCAGCTGAATTCAGCAGCAGGCGTGACAATATGACAGCCGGACTAAAGGCCTCTGCTGCCCACAGGACAGGTCCAGCTACCGAGCGCCCGGCACCACCAAATCCTGCTGGAGATCGGCCCGGCACCGCCAAATCCTGATGGAGATCGGCCCGGCACCGCCAAATCCTGCTGGAGATCGGCTTCAGGGCACACAAATTAGAAGAAAAATACTTTTGATTAATCCTCAGACCTGACAAGATTGTAAATTACAACACAAGACAGGCTCCTCTTACAACACTCATGGTAGGATGAACTCGCGTCAATCTGATTTGAACCACACCAACCGCTCCCCCAAATAAACCCC